ATGCTAATAATTTTGAAAATGTTTTTAGCTTCACAGTGAGATTACTTGTGATAATCCTGTCTTGGATTATATATCTTTTTAGAGTGTGTACATTTGCATTTGCCCGGTATTCCAAATGACAGTTATTATCCTACCTGCAAACTTTCTGTCACCCTTTTATTTTATAAAGGCATTTTATTTCATAAAATTGTCATAATGTATTGACTTTATTAGGACAACATAATTTACTACTGTTGCTGGCAAATTGTTAGAGAAACGTCCCTGGAATACCCAAGCAGATATATCCAGTAGGTAATTATATATATAACATTCATGTTTAGAAGAGAACTATTAGAAACAGAAAAATATTTGGGATTCATACATATTTGTTGTATCTGGTAACAAGGATGTGAGAGTGATAACTGAGGTGCAGTCTTTAGATTAGAAGAAACAAATGTGTAAAAACTAGGGAAAGATCAGCAATCAGTGGATGACCAAAGAAAGAGGAACATGTATAAAGCTGGACTGTATCATTGATTTCCTAAATCTATCCTTCTTGATACCCTAGAAGTTTCTTAACTCCTCTGTCTCTCTTAATGTCTTGTGGATGGTAGCTCCTAAACAGTATTTTGATCTTTTCCATCTCTTCCATCCCCTAAGCTACCACCTTGGTTCTTCATTTCTTATTCAACTATTGCCATAGTTGTCTCTCTAAGGGTTAGCTTCCAGTAATTTAGTTTCCAGATTGATATCAATGTGATCCTTTACAAACAAAACTCTGATCATGTCACTCCCTATGTAAATATTTGGTGCAGTAACTTTACAAATGTCTATTAAACACTTACTATGTTCTAAGTGCAGTACAAGATTTCATAATCTTAGATTTCATAATCTAAAATAATCATTCCAGTGGTCTACCTAGTATGTGACACCCAGAGTAGATTATTTTTTAACATCTCCCTCTCTGACAAATTTTTTTTCATTAATAACCTGAATTTTTCTGGAGCAGTTTAGGTTCTCAGCAAAATATGACAAAATTATTTTTTAAATGACCATGAAGCTAAATTATACATAACATTGGGGATATTGGATGTTCAAAAACAGATTCAGACATTGCCGTGATTGCTTTCCAGTGTGGGCTTTTTGGTTTTGCTTTAAATGCTTCCTTGTTGAGCTCTACTGGATTGCTGAGAGGAGAGAGGTTCCGTGGGGAGTGATGGAATTAACTTTGAGGAGGCTACAGTGGACCCAACCTCTCCCAGGGATGAGAAGACTGGAAAAGAAGGACTTAAGACTCTCGAGACTTAATCTATGGAGAACAACATAAAAAAGGAACTTTCAGCTCACTGGCTTTCTAATGTTTATTTTACCTACAATAAGAGCTTTCCCGCTTCTCTCTGATAAGACCATGGTTAGAAACGAAACATTTCAAGTAAAAACCGATTTTAATTGTTTCATGTTGGTACAAGTGTCACATTCAATTTTCTTTCTGAAATTTAGAGTAATTATGAACCAGTTGCTGGTTACACAAAAATATTGCAAATGATTACAAGTTTCTCCAGATTTCTATAGAAGGAAAAGAACCAATATTTTTACAATAGTTTTTATATTTACTTAAGTTTGATCTGTCATCCTTTGTTACATTGTTACAAATGTACAATGTACAAATGTTACAAATCTTATAAAATAAGTTTTATGTAAATAAGTGTCCAATAATAAGTGAGTTTTAATACTACTGGAAGTTCTGCAAAAGAATTTAAGTAACTACTACACTGTAACTCTGATGTAATGTTTTATTTTCTTGATCTGTTCTTTAATTTCTCAGTAATCAATTAGAAGTCAAAAAGAGGAATATATTTTAGTTTTAAAGATATTATTTAAATTTATTTTTTTAAGATTTATTTATTTTAGAGAAAGAGAGAGAAAGAGAGAACATGAGCAGGAGGGGCAGAGGGAGAGGGAGAGAGAATCTCAAATAGACTCCTCACTCAGCGTAGAGCCTGACACAGGGCTGGATCCCACGACACTGAGAGACCCTGAGATCACAACCTGAGTCAAAACCAAGAATCAGATGTTTAACTGCACCACCCAGGTGCCCCATTATTTAAATTTAGTAAAAACTTTCATGCATGGAATAAAATTTTCACTCACTAAAAAATATTATTCTTCCCAGTTCATACTGTTTCAGTGTTTTAATTTTTAATCACAAATGCAAAAACAGGTCTCTTCTTGTTTACTAACTGAGCTCTGTTTAAACATTAAAGCTTTATTACTTTTCAAAAAATAAACATTAAAGCTTTATTAAAAAAATCCTTAAAGCTTTATGTAATATGAAATCTTCTAGAGCATAGAAAAATGGAATGTTTCTTAAGTCATTGTGTCATTTATCATAACCTTAATAGTATAACACATTAGGAAGCTCTAGGATAATTCATTTAGCACTATTATTTTTCTAAATACATTTATTAGAAATACAATTTCTCATAGTGTGAAAAGAATAACACCAGAAACAGAAAGGATTTAGGCAGAAATGTTAGTTTCATTCAGAATTAGGGTACCAATCTTAAGCAATTACAAATACACATTAAAAAAGAAAAACCATATGCCAAAAAATATTTGCTTAAATTCTGCATCCAATCTGAATTAAATTTCTAGACATTAGTAAGGAAAGAGGAATATACAGAAACTGTTTAAAAACAATGAAGAATATTCATACACACACATATACACAGATAAACCAGCAAACAACACATAAAATAGTGAAATGCTGAGATAATTAAAAATAATGAAAAGACGGGAATGTCCATTATCATGATCTTTTTCAATATTCTTTTTGGTACTTTAGATCTGCACTGTCCAACACAGTAGCCATTTTTCATATGTGAAAATTTAATTTAAATGATTTACGATTAAATGAAATTTAAAAGTCAATTCCACAGTTGGACTAGCCATGTGGGCCTAGCACCTACCCATTGGTTAGTGAAGATTTAAAACATTTCCATTATCACTGAAAGTTCTGTTGGAGAGTGCTGTTCTTCTAAATAATGCAAGAAGACAAAAAAATAAATAAAACCCAATTTGTATATGCATTAAAATAGAGAGAAACTTACTCTTAGGTGTAGGTAACTGGAGTGCATACCTAGAAAACTGAAGAAACTGCAAGTACATCAATAAGGAGATTTGTTGATTGTTTAGGTTAATACACACAAAAAAATCAGTGTAGCATTTTATCTCTATTAAAAATTACCATTAAGAAATGGAAATAAAAATACTGATATGGTAGTAAATAATAAACACATAATTAGTAAATGACGGAATACCACAAAGAAATTTAATGGCAAAAATGGAAAATCTGTATAATTTGTTTTCAGTGTATTATTGATGGATGTTAAACAAGACCTGCACAAAATGGAGAAACCATGTAGCTAAATAGAAGTGATTGCAAAATTAATAATTTCAAGCAATTCCATAGTAATTTGATTTTACTTTAGATTTTAAATAGGATTTTGTAATTCAGAAGAATTATATCTAGCAAAATTATGAAGAAGAACTGAAAGAGCAGGTTCTGTTCTTGCCTTACTAGATATTAAAATTGAGTATGAAAACATCATATGCAAAAGGAAGTGTATTGTCTCATTAAGGTGCCCACTAAATAGTGGAATATATAAAAAGCCTATAAAGGAATTTAATATAGTGCTATAAAGGAAATATTTTAATTCAGTGGGAAATTGCTTATTTAAAAATGTTGCCGTGCATTTATTAATCATCTGGCAGAAGAAAAGCCAGATTTTTACTTCATCGTTTAAAAATCAATGTCAATGAAGTAAATATTTAAGTGTAAAGCAAATGAATAAATATTCTACAAAAATAATAGAAAAATGAAGTGCTATAGATCTTACTGAGCACAGGAGGTATTCAGAAAATATAAAAGGGATAAAAGTATAAAAGGGATATATTTAAGTATACATTTTTATTGTATGTCAAAAGATACCACAAAACAGCTGATGACAAATAATAATAAAGGCTAAACAAATTTATCTTTATAACATAATTATACAAAATTAATATCTCCTACAAATATTTCTGATAAATTGATTTAAGAAAAGACAAATATCAAGCTAAAAAAATGGCCGTTGTTGCAGACATGGTTAATAGCATCAAATATTCACCAAATATAGCACCCTTATATTTCCCAGACTTACTAACAGATTGGTACCATAAAACTAGTTAGCATAAGAAGTCATAGATACTATTTGAAAGCTAAGGCTGGGAAGAGCTGATATGTCTCCTCTATAATTCTTTGAGTTTTTGGAAATTCTCTTAGACCAAATACTATAGGTGGTTCAGATACAACACTGTAGAGCCTTTTTCAGTCTAAGTCCCTTAGTGACTGCAGGTCTAAGTTTACTGCTAATCCACTTTGGGCATGTAACATGATTGAGAAATAAAATTCTCTTGCATTAAGCCATCAAAGTTTCTGTGTTAATACATTACCAGAGCATATCCTAGATTACCCTAATATAGTAGGCAAGTCACAGAAGAAATAAAACAATAACAAAATCTCTAGGAATATTTTCAACCTCATAAGAATGCAAGTTAAAGCAATAATTAAATAATACTTTTGTCTTCAGATTTACCAAACTTGATAATATCCAGTGCTATGACACAATAGGGAAAATGAGACTCTCATTTTCTTACATGATTTGCAACAATTTTTTGAAAAGTAAATTGTAATATCTATTAAGCAAACAAAAAAATAATCTTTAACCCAGCATTTCTATTTTAAAAAACGTTTCTGTAGAATATCATGTAAAAATTAAAGCAATAGTAATTAAATACACATACAAAGATGTTTGTTGCAGGTAGCATGATTTCAAAGTAAAACCAAAAAACTGGAACAATGAGACCATCCATCAACAGAAGAAAAGTTGAATAAGGCTTCTGATCTGAGGAATGGTTAATATGTTTGTCAAGAGAATTTTTTCAAAGTTAAAGTGTACTATTTGTAATCCACACCTTACCTCTTCTCAAGATGCTTTAACTTGTCAATGGCTCTCTTAAAATAAGGCAGCAAGAACTGAACACCAGATGCAGTCTAACCAGCTGGAGTTCACCAGTTGGCTTATTTCCTCCCTTTGTTTTAAAAAATAAATAAATAAATAATAAAAACAGAAGAAAAATAGAAATTAAAAAAATTAAGGCAGATTAAATAAAAACCCTTGTTATGAATAGGCTATATTAAACCTGTGGTCAGCTAAGAATCTCTTAACATTTACTTTTCAGTGTGAACTATTATCAAATTATATCTCCCTTATATTTTTGTAACTGATGTAACATTTTGTATGTACCCATTAGTTTCATGGTGAGCATTCCATTTTTTTTTTCATCGCATCATGATTGCATCAAGTTGTGATTTTTTTATCCATTGTATTAACTTTTCCCACAATGCTTTTAGGAACTGTAAATTACAGTAAACATATTGAATTACTCAAGGACACAGAACAAAGTAGCATGAGTGTGAAGTCCTCCACATCCCAAATACATGCAACACCTGATTTAATTTTTGCAATTTTGCAACATACCTACACATTCGCCATTTCATTCAATATTCTCTGCCCCATATATTCAATCAGAATTATGAATAATGCGAGGTGCCTGGGTGGCTCAGTCGTTAAGCATCTGCCTTTGGCTCAGGTCATGATCCCAGGGCTCTGGGATCGAGCCCTACATCGGGCTCTCTGCTCAGCGGGAAACCGGCTTCTCCTTCTCCCACTCCCCCTGCTTGTGTTCCCTCTCTCGCTGTCTCTCTCTCTGTCAAATAAATAAATAAAATCTTTAAAAGAAAAGAATTATGAATAATGCCACGAAACATCTTGGTGATGATCGACCACTCAGTGAAAGACATTAATTCGGTGAAAGAGATTAATATTGTGATTGTTGTTTAATTGACTGTTTTTTAATTAATAGACTACTTTTTTCTTTTTAATTTTTAAAAAATATTTTATTTATTTATTTGACAGAGAGAGAGAGAGCAAGTGAGCACAAGCAGGGGGGAAGAGGGAAAAGCCGGCTCCCCACTGAGCAGGGAGCCTGATGTGGGGCTTGATCCCAGGACGCTGAGATCATGACCTGAGCTGAGCCACCCAGGAGCCCCAATAGACCACTTTTGAGGAGAACTTAGATTTATATTAAAAATGAAAAGATAGTACAGAGTTCCAAATTACCCCACACAAACAGTTTCCATCATTATTAACTTCATGCATTAGTGGGGTGCATTTGTTACAATTGATGAATTAATATTGATACCCTATTATTAACTAAAGTCTGTAGTTTACACTGAGGCTGACAATTGTATCGTACAGCTCTATGGGTTTTAACAATTGCATAATGTCATGTATTCAACCTTTATAGTGTCATACAGAATAGTTTCACTGCCCTAAAAATCATCTGTTCTTCATCTATTCATCCCTTTCTTTCAATGACCACTAAACATCTTAATCTCTCTATAGCTTTCTTTTTCAAAATGTCATATAATTAGAATCATACAGTACATAGTCTTCTTAGACTAGCTTCCTTTTCTTGGAAATACGCATTTAACTTTGCTCCATGCCTTCTTGTGGCTTGATAGCTCACTTCCTTTATGGCTAGATAACACTCTGTTGTGTGGATGTACCACGATTGTTTATTCACTCACCTACTGAAACATATTTTGGTTGCTTGCAGTTTGGGGTGGTTATGAATAGAGCTGCTATAAATATTTGTGTGTAGGTTTTTGTGTGGACATAAGTTTTCAGTGTATATCAGTAAATACCAAGGAGAACAATTGCTGGATCGAAGGGTAAGACTGTTTTTAGCTCTGTAAGAAACTGCCAAACTTTGGCAGCAGGTGGCTGTAACATTTTGTATTCCCACCAGCAAAGAATGAGAATTCCTGTTGCACTATATATACTTACCAGCATCTGGTATAATCTATTTTGCATTTTAGCCATTCTAATAGGTGTGTAGTGATATATTGTTGTTTTAATTTGCAATTTCCTTGTGACATAGGACATTGCATTTTAAGAGTTCTTTGTATATTTTGGGTGCAAGTCCTTTATCAGCCATGCTTTGCAAATATTTTCTCCCAGTACATGGTTTATTTTTTCATTCTCTAAATGGTCAACTGATTTTTATTTTCACCCAATGATTGATTGATTGATTGATTGATTATTTATTAACATATGCTCCATATGGATACATTCTTAAAACATTTAAAACAAAAAGTGTGCAGTATAATATTTACTGACACTTTTTCTTTTGTTCGTATGGCAAATCTAAACAATATTCCTTGAATAAATCTCAGTTGTCACTGGATGTCACTGTTGCTTTACCAAATATGACTGTTTTGTTCATAAAGACAACGATTTAGAACATTTTCTAAATAAGCACTTTATTAAAAGAAGAAAATCCACAATGTTAAGTAACTGTCAATTAGGTTTAGGTCCAAGCTATATAGGATATCAATAATTAGGAAAACATTTGTTTAATTTATAAGATGTAAGTTTCTTCTTAAACTTACAGACATATTTCAAATCATACAAATAATTCATTAAGAAGACTATACAGAACTAAAAAAGTTTTTTGAACAATAATTTTTTTTCAAGATAGAGGATTTAGTCTATGTATGGTACATGGCTAATAGGTAGCACATTTAAAAATTTGAAAGTAATTTATTAATTACAAAACATTTTAAATCATATATGCACATAAATATATATACACTTAAGTACTAAAAGTTTATATGCTTAATATGGAATAAATTCATTCTATAGACACTTTTCCATTGCAATCTGATATATATACTGAAACTTTTACTTTTTTCCTAAGGGAAAAAAAATGTTTGAAAGAAAGCACTCTATCACAACCTCCATATAACCAGATACCATAACCACCAGCTAAAACTGCCTATACAGATCAGTTTCTCTTGCAAAAGTGCCTTATGCTGAAACAGTTTCTGTACTTGTCCTTCCATGCTTTGAACATGTCCCACGCACCACCCCATTGTCAGGCTAAACTATTCCACCTTAAGCATCCTTTTCTCAAGGATTCCTATACTCAGTTAAAACCTCTTATTTTACATTATCTTAGATCTGCCCTACGGGGCTATAAACTTTCTGAAGGCACCACAGTATCTGCTTTATTGATCGCTAATGTCCAATAGCACATATAAAATTGTTCATAAAAATGTGTTTAATTACGAAACTTTGGTTAGGCAATGACTAAGACTGTAAATGTTTAATATTAAAAGTCATTACAATCATAAGGAATATTATTAAGAATTCATTTTGAGACAGGGATAAAGATTTAAATCTAAAATAAATTATAATTGATAAACAGTTTACTTAATTAATCCCTGGACTGAAGGACATAACTAATTACTCTGTTAAATATCTATCCCTAAGTCTGAAATGGATGGCACTTTCAGTGTGTTATATTAGTCACATAACATGATATTTCTGGGTCTTGTTAATTGTTTATGCAAGTTATTTTGCTAGGCACCTGATTATATTTACATAACAATGAACCCCCCATTTTCTCCATGCTAGTTTTTCTCAGCTTCATAGGTTTTGTAGGCACAAAAGAAGAAACAGTTTGCAGGGGACACTACAAGACTCTCAGAATACAATCAATTCTGGGATTGCACGGAACTTTCCAAGGGAAACAAAATTGTTCTAGGTATTTGCATTTTCATTTTGGAATTGGAACATAACTTTAGAACTCTGTATTGAATGGAAATGCAACAAGACAAAAATACTCTGGGATTTCCAGCTCAGAATTAGGATATAGGGTTTCTGAACACCTAAATTTAACATAATGAACACAGAATCAAATAAAGCAGACAAAATAAAACAACCAAGATTCAGTACATTCTCTTAATATACCACAAATGCTTTCCTATGTATGATCCCTTCTAATTTAAAAGATGCTTTATATAACAATCAATTATCTAGTTATGAACCTGATTTGTTGAGTGTTCTATAGAGGGTAGATAGAAGAGACATTGTCCTATCTGTACAAAGCAATATCCATCAGTAGCATTCATTGTATGTCCTTGGAAGATGATTTTGAACAAAAGTTTTCAAAAATATAGACCGACAAAAATGATACTCTTAAGTCACAGATAGGAAAACATATATGAAGTAGTATACTTATGCACAATGAATCAGAAATTTTATGACCATGATGTTTTGGTGAGACAGTTGTTTGCTAGCAAATACTTGAAACTCACAGTATGTGGTCAACTTTATGTGATAAAGTTGTATGAAAAATGGGTTCACTTCAAAGAATAAATATTTTGGAAGGAACAAAAAAGAAAATAAAAATCATGTGAATTACAGTGTTGGTCACTTAAGTAATATATATTCAAAAACAGTTATGAAATTTCTTTTTGTAATAAAACCTACACATAAAAATCTCTTTTATACACTAATAAAATCTATGGCTTTTTTAAAGGATAGGTTGTGTTTAATATGGATAGAGAGTGACTCATGCAACCATCCACCATGATATTCTGTTGATTTCTAAAGCGTTGCATACCAGAACCTCATTTGCCATGGTAAAATGGGAATGAATACATTTCAGTTATGTTAATAAGGGAAATGGTAATGAGGGTTTTTGTCCTGCAACTATCTATAATTAATTTATTATCAATGGAAAGAGTATTTCCATCAGTATAAATTATCTGATAGTCATGTGGAACAAACAGGATCAAATTTGAATTATAATAGTAGATGGAGAAAAGAAGTTGACTTTATATCTGAGAAACAAGGGATATATAAATATAGGTAATGAAGAAAGACAATTGGCAATTGAAAACTACTTACCATGGTAAGTAAGTATAAATCTAAGATTTATTGATACTGGTACTAAAGAGAGCATTCTTAAATATAATACTGCCTGTAGGGGAGATTGTTACTTTATTAGAGTAACCATATAATTTATTTTCCAACTTGGAAGTGTTCTGACAGTGAAGGAGCTTAAATCTGAAGGGATTCCAGAAGAATGGATATATTTTTACCTGAACTTACACAGCAAACTGGGATACGTGTTCAGTCTACTGAAGATCTAGTCTCTATTTCTCTTATAATAATAAC